TTCAGTTTCATTTCTTCCCTTAGGAAAAAAAGTATTCTCTCTAAGATGTTTTCAAGATTCTAAATCATAGCAATTAACAAATTAATAACAAAGAGCAAATAAAACACAACATAATGCAATACTCCATATTTTACTTCAGCTACATCATCCTATGTTCCCAGTAGTATAAATTTCAGTCACAAAATTAACCCATATTGGTTTCCTTACTTGTTTCCATTCATTTTCACACACACTTAAATTGACATTTTCCCTCACTAAACCTTGTTGGCAGTAAAGGGGATGGCCGTAAAAGGGAATTTCTGTGAAACGAAACAGAAAATTTTAAGTACAATGCAAAATTGTGTGCTTAAAAAGTATAAAATATTTTCATGGCAGATAATGCTATACAGATAGGCATATTGATTGAATAATAATAGTAATTGAATCAAGATTCAAAGACGTTGAATTTGGGGTCCATTATTTCTCAGAGTAGTGGATTAAGCTTTGCAGTTTGTAGTGCAAGCCCTAAAATATGCTCTGATCAATTGATCTTTTTTTTATTTTCACAACAAATGTACAAAAAAGAAAAACATCTTTCAATGTGTATGAATCAGCTTCAACACTTGTCACCAATGCACAACACATTGCAAATCACATCCCATCCCCATATTTCAGAATTCAGTTCGCCATTATTAATCTGTACATCTGATTTCATCAAAGCTGTTTTATTACTGTTTTAAAATAGAATTTTAAATACGTATTTCAGGGTTCAGGGAGGAAGAGTCATTTTGTATGGTAGTTGTTGAGACACTCATGAGGACATAATTAACCTGTGGGTAGTGGTAGCCACCACAGAGTTCACAAGAGAGGATTATCAAGCACTATCAGAGGCACCTAGTTTGCCACTGCGCGAAACAAAATGCTGAACAACCCATAATGGAAAATCACAGTTCTTTTCTTTGCATTCAATTAATCTCCACAAAATGCAGTTGAAATGAGATGAGGAATAATAATACTTACTGTCATTAATAGTGACATTTGATATGGGAGACACAGATGAAGGAGTAAAAGAAGGATATGTACCACTGTGTTCTTCAACACCGCTGCTACAACAGCAACAACTTTCACTTGGAATGATGAAATCATTAACTTCTGAAAACATTAACACAATGTTTTTTATGAAAAAATTCAAATCAAACATTGTTGTGCCCTTCCTGCTTTCCATCAGAACCATTCAGCATTTACCTTCCCCTGCCCCAAGTATTTTAGAAATATACATAAACAAAGAGGAAAAAATATAGAGTATTTATCATTTATTTCTGTAAAGCTGTGGTACAAAAAATATAGTGGCTAGACACTATCAAAGTTGATGCCAGACAGAGCATAGAACAAGTAAAAGAAATAGTGCAAGATTGGAAGATGTGGAAACACCTGGCTCATAGTATTGTCCATGGTCGAATTCTATTGGATAGGTAACATCATCATCTGGTTCCAAATCGAAATGTGGTATCTTCCCAGTGGCTGGAAGGCAAGAAAAGAGGAAAGTGACAAAATGTGTATTGCAATATCATAATGCCAGCTTTGTCCCTTACATACTGGTATCATTTGCCACAGGTACAAAGGGGTGAAGCTTGCATCATGATGACACCAAATGTTATCCCATTGTGCATTGTTTGGTTAGAACATCTGTGCCAATGATCTGTAGCAAAGGAAGCAGGTGACTATCATTACTGACTAATAAGTGAGAGGACAACGAGTAAAATCAGGCATTGGTAGAATTGGATGGAGGAGGAAGTAGAATCAGAACTGGGAAATAGGAAGCAGTCTGCAATCATATCTCTGAAATGCTACTTGGTCTATCCCCAAAGAATGATCTGTGCCAAATGACTTCACTTGGATTCAGAAACGGATAATGGATATGGCTTATTGGTTGCCCACTTGTGACTCCATAATAATTACTAATATGAGATTTTAAATTTAGATTTGACTGTCTATATATGTATGGAATAAAATGACTATATTAGTAATACCTACCACACTACTAAATTTCTCAGACTGAACTGAGTATGGTAGATCCATTTCTAAAGAAAGAATTTTAAGTCATCCAGCACATTGGCATGATGGTGGTGGTAAACAATGATGTTAGTTAATGTTTGTTCAACTTTGATAAAGGCTGTTAAAGTGAGTCTTATAGGTAAACACCATAATGGAAACTGAACTTCATTGCAAAAAAGACACAGATGATCTGACCTTCACAATATAGCTCAGCCAGTGTTTATACCACCCCTTTATTCTACTTACCAGAAGATATTATAAATTCTACCTTTTTCATCTGCTCAGACTAAATGGAAAAAATAATATACTATATACAGTATTTATCATTTATTTCTGTAAAGCTGTAGTACAAAGAATATAATGGCTGGACACTATCAAAGTTGATGCCAGACAGAGCATAGAACAACCCAAAGAAATAGTGCAAGATTGGAA